TTCTTGTGGTCTTTGATGATAGTTTCTTGTTGGTATTGTGACTAAATTTTTTATACACGTATAATTGAAATCGTGTGGATATTCATTTTTTTTTTGAAGACAGTTAGTAGGTATTTTTCTTCCATTCTCTTCAACACCGGAGTGCTACAGTGTGTGTATTTGTGAACTCTTTTAAACAATGTCTGGACATAGTTTCTTTTGTCAGTAGTCGGTTTATCAAAATTCTATTCAGGAAGAAACTAATCCTTTCTCAAGAAAGTGAAAACTTTATAGATGACGAATACCACTTATGGTGACATCCTCGTCCGTTCCTCTTGTAGTTGAGACAATGCTCCCTAGATAAGTGAATGAAGTAACCTCTTTCAAATCCCTCCCGTTGATGGTGATTGGCGCTGGATGTCGCTGCTCCTGTTGTTGTTGTTGTTGGTTGGTTATTTTCATAACCTCCGTCTTGTCTATGTTCACCTGGAGTCCTGTTTTTGCTGCTTCTTTGACCAGTTTGTTGGTTTTCGCTTGTAAGTCTTCGATTTTGTGTGACGTCAAACATAAATCATCCACGCGCGAAATCCAGGTCTTCTAGGTTCTTCACGTCGGTCCAGGATATCCCTGTCTTCTCGTTTCCCACTGTCTGACGCATAATCCAGTCCACCACAATTAGGAATATCATTGGTTATAATACGCACCCTTGTCTGACTCCTGTGTTTACTCCAAACGCTTCGCTGAGTTTTCCGTTGTGGATCACTTGATATGTGCCGTTGTCGTAGAGCTGTTGAATAAGATTGATGAATATTTGGGGTACGCCGTAGTAGTCGAGTAGTTTCCAAATTACTTCTTGGTCAACGATGTCGAAGGCCTTCTCAATGTCTATAAAGTTGAGGTAGAGGTTTGATTGCCATTCCATGCTTTGTTCAACGATGATGAATACAACTACTGGAGATTTCAGAGATTACTGATTTGAGTCAGTAGAGCTTTCATTCATCAAACAAAATTACAGCTTTTTACAATCAATGACCTAACATTCTATTTTTGTGCAAACAGCTATTTTGTATCAAAGGAAATCTACAGAAAGGAGTAATATACAATAAAAAAGCTCTGACATTTAATTATTCACTCTGATCAATTATTCAGGAAGTAAATGCAGGTAAATCACAAGAATAAAAATAACATCATACAACTGGTTTGCTTGATAAATTTCTATAAAGAAAGGAAGACGAAACTTGCAGTATAAAATGATATCATTTTATTACACAGGTTCTCATCAGCTGCAGACTACCTGAAATTACAATGGTTATATGAATGATAATAACATACTTTAAAGTTTGAGTATTAGTAGAGAAGAGATAAAATTGACGCATCCAAAGAAAGAATGAAAGCATTACAATTTTTAGTTTAAGTTATCATCATCAATTTATACACTTTCAAAGTTGAAAAGAGGGGGGAGGGGTAAGACAGAAAACAGAAAAATTCATTAACAGAAACAGTGTTAGCTTGTAGGTTCACATAGCAACTCCAAAAAACAAAGGCGGTTACAGTTTATGAGATTAAGATTTGTTCAATGAGTTGCGATCACTGAATTAGATGACTAATTATTGCAGTCAAAATCAAAATTCAGTTACCAAGGGAGTGAGAGGTTAATCACACTCTCTTTCTGTATGCATAAGTCTGGTTTAAGTCGTTTGATTGCGATCGCTTCGGGAAATCGTAGTAAGTTTGCTGTCCTTTGTCTATTTAATATTTTGAAGGACTTAGAAATCTCTACTAGATGTCCGGTATCAACAATATGTCTGGTAATTGCACTCTGAGAATATTTGCTTCCTTTCAGGCATAGGTTCCTTGGAATATATTCAGAAAACCGGATAGAAGCCCTTCTTTCTGTTTTTCCAATGTACTTGCTCCCGCAAGTGCACGTAAATTCATAAACGCAGTTGGAGGTGACATCAGCAGGGTATTTATCTAGTTTTGATTGGATTATAGAAGGAGTGGTGTTGTATACTTTTATGAGTTTTGCTGCCTGGAAGCTTCTATTTATTGTTCCTTTCAGTCTTCTGTCAATCTTTTGTGACACTGCATCTCCTTTGAATGGGAGACAAATAAACACTTTTTTCTTTTCTACAGTTGGATGCTTTTCCTTCTTATCTTTTTCTCTGCTATACTTCTATATAAATCCCTTAGGGTATCTATTTTCCCTCAGGCATTTCTCGACGAAATCTAGTTCTTCTTCGACCTTGTTTGGTGAACATAGCTTCCTGGCTCTGTCGTACAAAGTCCTCACTAATCCACGTTTATAGCTTATGGGAGAAAAGCTGTTATAGTGAAGATATTGTCCAGTCTATAGATGGACTTTTCGATCATGCCTTCTTTTGTAAATGTAAATGTAAAAAGAACAAACGAATAACATGAATAATAGACAAACACAGATACACTGAAAGATGAAAAGACCGATAACTGGGAATTCAAAACGCCAGCGCCACTGTCATACAAAAAGAGGGAATCTGTAAAACTTTAAGCACGATTCTAACCAAGGCAGGAGAATAAGATTGGCTTTCAAACCCACAAGTTCACATAGAAACAAAGTATGTCGACTAAATCCAGTAGAGTCTATCTAATAACTTGAAATGATCAAGTGGGATCAAATACATAGGCCTTATTGGTGGGTGAGAGTCGACTCGCGTCAACGGAGCATCAAGACTTAGTGCAATTTAGACGACTATACCGTAATAAGATAAGAAACTAAAGAAGATTTACTATGGTGTGGTGTGCGCTACTGGCAAGATTTGTAAGTAGTATATATATGCAGACATAAATTTATTTTCTGCAAGAATATTGAATCTCAGCACAAAGAACAAGATTGAGATCTTCAACACTAATGTCACTTCAGTCATTTCTTCTATATAGGTCAGAAAATTGGACAGCAAGTCGCGTAAACAATTTCTAACAGCCTTATGCGGGCCTTTATCAGCAGCTGCCCACTTCCCATCGCATTAAAGATCGGATGTCCAGGAAGAATAAGTAACAAGAAACTATGGGAACGAATCAACCAAGAACCAGTTGTTCAACAAATATGTAGGAGAAAATGGAGGTTGGTAGGAGACACACACCTAGGGAACTGTCGAATGACGTCACGCTGAATGTAGACCATTGCTCGAATGTTATCCTAATGAAAAGCGGCGAGTTGTCATTGGTCTGAGGTTGACATGGAGAAGATGGTGTGGCGAGGTGGATATTAGGAGATCGTGGGGAATTGCGGGTCCACCAAATAAAAGGAAGTGGAGATGTGTCGTTAGAGCCCTCTGGGATCGCCCGTATCAGGATTAATAGCTGTTATACTGCAATGATTAGAATTAATAGCTCTACCTATAATTAAACCGAAAATCTCGATACGTTACGTTGATGATACATTTGTAATAATTAAGAGAAGTGATTTAGAATATACTCATAAATTAATAAACAACATATTTGAAGACATCAAATTCACAAGAGAAGAAGAATTAGATAACAAAATCCCATTTTCAGATGTCTTAATCAGGAGAACCAACACAGGAAATTTAGAAACACAAGTATATAGAAAATCAACACACACAGATCAAATACTCAACTATACTAGCAATAATCCAATTACTCACTCACAAAAGAAACTGTGTGTAGACATTGTTTTAAACAGCTCAAACACACACTGTAGCACTCCAGAGTTGAAAAAAATGGAAGAAAAGTACCTACAAACGGTCTTCAAAAAGAATGGTTATCCACAAAATTTCATCAGTATGTGTTTAAAGTCAAATGAAAACACCAACAAAGAACCATCATCAAAGACCACAAGAAAATTCATTCTACCATATACAAAATATATCTCTGAAATAACAGCTGTAATACTGAAACCGTTTGAAATAGATATAACACACAAGCCGGCCAACACAATCACTTAATTCGATATTGTGCAAACCGAAAGATCCAACAGAAAAAGGGGATAAAATTAATACCATTTACAAAATAAATTGTATGAACTGCAACAAGCATTACATCGGCCAAAGTGGGCGTCCCATTCGAATCAGAATCCAAGAACACAAATCAGCCGTGAAAAGACACGATATATATTCTTTAGTATCAATGCATATACACAATTATGGACATCAATTTGATTGGGATAATGTCGAAATCTTAAACAGAGGAAACACCAAAAGTGCAGTCAGGGAATTCCTAGAAGCCTGGTACTCAAGCGAAAATGCAATTAACAAACAGGTTAATATAGACGAAATATACCAACTAATAAAAAGTAAATCAGGTGACTAGAAAGTTTAAAATCCAAGTCAATAGAAAATGGTCAATACATATGTAAAGATAGTTACCGGGAGACGCAATTATATCACTCATGAAGAAATATAAATCATTTCACTTTATGCTAAATATTGGGCTGAAAGGGGATGTTGTCCGGAAGGACGACGAAAGCTCCGCCGCAACTAAACCAATCAGCTCAGAGAACACTATTAATTGCAAATCATCCACCTGAGCTACAAATCTTCTCTATTATTTCAGAGCCCTCAGTTCCACCCATAACGCGAGGGAACAGTAATATAATTATACTAATGGATCAATATATTTTTGAAAATTGTAGGTAACTATGTTTCATTGCACTTGAGAACTTTATCAGAATGTGTTATACTGGAAAAAGTTGCGTTTGGCGTACTTTGTTACATTTTTTCACTAAAGTTTGACGAAGAAGCCTCTACTTTCGTACGTAGTAACAGTATAAGACAGGTGTTTAGAAGATCGTTCAAAATTTGCTATCATCTGTAGCAATAAGGCAACACACTATGAATAACCTCATAAAATAAGTAAAATGAAAACATGTAACAAGAAAGTTGTCAATTTTAATTCTTTGAAACATGGGACTCAATTTCCATTGGTTAATTAATATTAGCCAATGAAATACATGAAAAAATCGACCAATTAAAATAAAGCATTCAATAAAGTTATCACTTTAATTGTCTTTGAAACACCTATCATCTCACCTTATGAATACCTTATGAATAGTTTTTATTTGATTAACAATAAGAATTTTATTTACTCTCCCATTGTTAGTGTCTCTTTGCCCATAAGAAGAAGAACATAACAAAACAAAACAAAAAACAACTATATAAGCAACAATAAAAAAACAACATAATTTCCTTCAAGAAACAATAATACAAAGTGAGTCCCAAGTTAGCCAGGTAATATATATAATAAAAGGCGAATATATATACATACACAGGAGAAACCATTGTATCCAGACTTGTCGATAATGACGCGGAATCATCGCAGTGACCTGTATAAATTACATAAATTATTATTAATACTATTATTATATATTACAATCTGTACACTTGGGAATATTGTCAGTACTGGTGCCAGCCCAACTGATGACGCATCATTTGCTATCGATTTTCCGTGTGGTCCACATCCAATTGACATGTTTTTATCAAAGCTGTTTGATTATTTAGAAAAACAAGAACCAAATTTTGACAGTTCTACTGATCTACTAGAGGAGAAATTACGCATTAAAATGATCTATGCTAAATTGCTGTATGCATTTACACCAATGCCTACAAGTAGTTATTTTGTATACAATGAGATAATGCGATCAATCAACGATTGGAATGAATGTATGAGTAAACAGATGAGACATAAAAAATGGTTTAAGCGTACAAGACAACTACAAAATGTGAATACAATCATTCCATCTAAAGAGAAAATGTTACAATCGAAATTCAACTTATGAAACTTGAAAAGAGAAAAAAACGCACACTATCTGGTTTCCTCTGTCTCTTTCTGCCTATCTCCATCTCTCTCTCATTGATATTATCTCTGATTATTTTGATGTTGTTGCTGTTGTTGTTGCTGCTGTCGTTGTTGTTGTCAATTTCGGATGTGAACAAGTCGAAGGAGATCAGTCAGTTAGCTAATCAATTAATCAATGAATCAATCAATCAGTCATTCAATCAATAAATCAATCAAAATAGTGTAACATCAGAAAGTGTTCATTGAGTAGTGAAACTTCAAAAGAGATACGAACATTCTCACCGTCTCTCGCTCTCTCTTTCTCTATCTCTTTCTCCCTCCCTACCTATTGAGTATATCTTCACCAAAGTAACTTTCGCTAGCTTCATATTTCAATTCATCTTTTAAAACTTTCAAAATTTATATGGATTTTATACTTTCTCTATGCTTTCATAATTAAAATTTATTTCTTCAACTTTTAGAAAATAAAAAAAGGACGCTATTTCACATTAAATACTCTCTCTCTGCTGTTACCTTTACTACATACCACTTTCCACTTTTCTTTTTTGACCCTACACGCATTTTTTTGATTCTGTGCAAAGTAAACTGTGAAAACTTTTCAATCAAATGAAGTAAGTACACCAATTGAAATAGATGAATGTCATTGTATGATTTATTGATGTGTATGTCATTAAAACAAAAAGAAATAAAGAAGGTGAATTTACTTAAAAGATGCATATACTCTATGACAAAACAACAGCAATAGTAGTAATAATAATGATAATGATAATAGTAATAATATCAATAATAACAATAATGATAATAATAATATATCTATTGGCAATAATGACCAATGTATTCTGTGTTTTGTATTTTTTGTCGGTGACATTTCATTCTGAAAGAAAATCAATTTTTCATCTATTCACCTTCGAATAGCTAATTAATATGTCTGTATTAATTAAATTGTCTTAATGACAACAAAACACCCAGAGTTCAGTGAAGAGTCTCCTTTTTTTAAGAGAAGAATTCTAATCACTTAGCTGTATTATTATTATTATTGTCTCCATTGCGTTCGAGTCTCTGCTACAGTCTTCACCTGGCTCAAAGTCTGCCCACACGCTTTCATCTCCTCTTCACATCACCTCCTTCAAGTCACCCCACCTTCGCACTGACCACCAACTCGCCGCTTCCCTTTCGGGTTCCACTCCAGTGATGGCTTGTCTAGTGATGTCACTTGATGGTTCGATTTCTCAGAGTATGGCCAGCCAATCCACCTCCATTTCTTCCTGCCTATTTGTTTCACAGTCGGTTCCTGCTGGGTTGGTTCGCTCATTGCCAGAGATCTCTGTTGCTGATCTCTTCTGGCGGGCCATCTCATCTTGAGCGGAGTACTGAGCGAAGACAACTGTTAATGAAGGTCTGTAGTTTGTTTGAGATGCTCTTTATGACGCGCCACTTAACTGTACAATTGTAATAATTAGATAATTAATTACCTTTTTTTGAATTTCATCATGAACTGACATCGGTTAGAGAAGCATATGAAAACTTGTGTAGAAGTACTGGACAGCTAACTGTTTCATCAGCCTAGTTAGTTTGACAGTCTACAGTAGTAGTAGTAGTAGTAGTAGTAAGCGCCTACCAGAATAGGTTTGAACCTATGACCTTCTGGTTACAAGACTGGACTCACCGATTATTCAACAGCTACTGGAATTTGATCCAATGGTCTATTGAAATAAAACTTCTGCCAATTCATGACTACGTGTGTGTGTGCCTCAGGGTTTTTAGACAAAAATAAAAATTAGTTAGGTTTAGTGCTTACGTCATCAAAGTATTTGAAAAACAGTGTGATGAATCATCAAATTTTAACCTGGGCCGGGGAAGGGGTTAGAGGTTAGTAAGAGTATAGTGGTGATGAGTTGTCAAATAACATAAGAGAAGTTGAATAAAGGTACTGTAGTTACGTAATAAGATGAATAATTTAATGAGTGAGTTTTGATCAGGATGAACATAGAAACGAAGGAAACTATGGAATTATTCAAGAGTTGTAAAGAAATACAATAGTTACAAGGAAATAGAAAAAAATAAGCACACAAACATCAAGTCGGTAGAAGTCAACACGGTTGTTACCCTGATAGTAAGACTGCTTGAAAGATTTTCTTTGGTTCAACTCTGGTTTTTCCAAAACTGAATGGCTAAGGCTTCAGCAATACAAAGGAAACGAAAGCGTATCATCTTTGGTGGGTTATTCTTCCCTTTCTAGATCACTTTGAAGTGGGCGTTTGTTGAGATAGAATGGCCAGTGTTGACAAAGTGATCAATTATCTTACTCCTTATAGAGCCCTAAATATCTTTCTGTAACTGTGTGGGATAGAGTTCTAGGACCCTTTTGGACAGGATACCTACCGAACAGCCGATGTACCTGACTTCACAGCAACAGGTGAACTGATATATATGCACATAGAAGGGGTCAGATGCCAGTCTTTAAGGCTTTAACAGACCAATGGACGACTAGAGTACACTGCTCTTAACATTGCTGCGAAGAAAGCGCTTTTTTTAAAGATGCTGAATTTCTTCTCTTAAGGATGTTGCAATCTGAGTCACCTTTGAAATCCGGGTTCATGTAAAGTATCCTTTTTCAGAACGAGTAGTGTTTCGTTCCTCTGACTTTTGGTTCAGTATTCTTGTAGAGAAATCTTAATGGGCATCCCATTTTGCTTGAAGATTCAATTCTGCTTCCATGGCGTCAGGAGTACAGATACGCCAAGGGAGTGGCAAGGGATTTAATTTAGATTTCGTTTTCGTTCAAAAGGTACCCAAATCTAGGAACTTGTTAGTTGGCCGTTCCAAGTAAGTTTTCAATGCATTGACCTTCTTAAGCTTCCATCAGGTGGTCTTGTTGATTCCACAGCACGGAAAGAGATTTTAGCCTTATTTAGCTTGGTAATTGTGAAATATTTGTAGCAGTTGACAGGGGTCGTAGCTATTGTCGCAAATGATGAGCAGATATGTACCGTTTATACAGTTGTAAATTTTTTGACAACTCATCACCACTACCCTCTTACTAATTTTTGCTACCTTACCACCCTAGTTACAATTTGGATTATTCATCATATTTTAGAAACATTTTGATGACGTGAACAGTAACTGTAACTAATTGTTAATTTTGTTTGACAATCCCAATGTGCAAACACACGCAAATAATTATATATAAATTCGATTGTACAGCTTAGTGAATGAATTCGCCTCCAAAAGGAGATTCTTCGCTGAACTATGTGTTTTATTTTCATTATGTTCTGGATAGGGATAATTCATGGATTAAAAAGTATTAAATTTAACACACTGCATAGTATATTTTCCGAATATGTCAACTTTGGGATGTGATACATATATATACATATATATATATATATATACGACATATTTCTGAAACTTTAGCAAGTGTTCCATTCGTCAGTGACTTTACAAATGAACATAATTATGTTTTTGTTCAGCGAAGAAATTTCTTTTCAACGACTTCATTTTCAAGCTGTACAGTCGTATTTATATTACAGTAAAGGTTATTAAGTGGCACTAAATAATTGCTCAGTCAATATACAAATAACGATAATTAAAATGTTTAGAAAATCAAAACAAATGATTCAGCGAAGAGACTCTTTTCAACGAATTTATCATCAAGCTGTACAATCGTATATATATATGGTTTTTAAGAAGTTATATCCGGTGAGGGAATTGAAACACAGGTGTGAATCCATAAAATAATAATAATAAAAATATGAAGTGCAATTAAAACTAAAATGTTTGTGATTATAATCGTAGTTAAATGTCAAGTGGCAAAGCAAATTAATGTCATTTATAGAATAATTCATAGGATGGATAGAACTTGAAAAAGGGTGTGCAATTATAGGATCAGTAGACAAATTGAATAAAATAAAAACGTTACGTAATATTGTGTGAAATTTATTAGCATAGAATTCAACGATGTAAAAAAGAATTGATTTAGAATGACAAGTGGAACGAGTGACATAATACCACGGACAATTCAAAGTGAGAATAGTAACTATAGTAAAAATTGACGTAATAAAGGAAGAGTATGCAAATTGAATTGACAAAACGAAGAGAAAAATTGGTTGAGCCAACATTTGATTAAGGATTACCAAACTTTGGCATAGAGGGATTAACACCATGAAAGTTGAAGGGGTTGAACGAACTTTTTCTGTACACAGAGATCTGGCTTTTCTGTTTCGATAGCCAAAGCTTCAGCAATACAGATGAGTCGGGTACGTAGGGATTTGGGTAAATTACTCCTTGCCGTGTAGATGACTTTGAAGGCGGAGGCTACAGAGATAGGGTGATCAGTATCGACCAGGTGTTCAATGATCGCGCTTCTTATTGCTTCACTTCCACCTTTTCGTAACCATGCAGGATAGTGTTCTTGCACCCTCTTGGACAAAACTCGTGTCGAACGACCGATATACCTAGCTCCACAAGAGCAGGTGAATTGATAAACACACATAGAGTTGGTCAACAGCGGGATCTTGTACTTCAGGTTATTGAACAGCAGTGGTCGACTAGTAAAGGCTATTCTCAGGGATACAGCAGGGAATGTTCTTTTCAGGGACTGTGATATCCTTCGTTTCATGATATCGGAAGGTAAGTCCCCTTTGAATTCCAAGCTCATGTAAAGTATCTTCTTGGGTACGGTTGATAAGTCACGTTTTTTAGGATTTGAATATATATTCTTGTCTATAAAACGTGGTGGAAATCCATTTTCAATTAGGATTTTCCTCAAGATGTATAACTAATCTTCCACAGTATCAGGGCTTCATATGCGCCGAATACGAGTGGCAAGCGAAAAGGAAATTTTAGGAGAGACTATTCTTTTCGATAATTTCCTCTCCCGGCTCTGCAGATATATATATATATATATTTATATACATAAAATGTTATAAGGGGTAGAGTTGAAGTGGATAAATTACAAAATTATTAAAGATTGTTTTATGAGTGACGTGATATCAAAACCTTTTAAGAAAAAATGTCAAGCGTTGTCGAAAAATTTTAAAAAATTAGGAGTACGATTACGATAAGAATGAAGATGTGAAGTGAAGTGGAATGAAGTCAAGTGGCAAAATAAAAACTAGAAAGAACATTACTATGACCAAGGTAAAGAAAGGGGTTTGACAAAACGGTTTTGAACACATAATTTAGGTTTCTGTTTATGTATAGCTAAAGCTTCGGCTATGCATAAGTGAAGAAAACGTA